CTTAGTCTCCAGACTGACATCATTGTTCTTCAATACTCTGGAAAGGTCCCGGACAGCAAACTTTCAGCTGTGACATTTTTAAGAGTTTTGAATGTACCAAGAAAACAAACAGATTCATCCTAGAGAGGGTTAAACCAGGCTGCTCCTTGGAGGCAAGGATTCTGGGGCTTCGTCTGACATACTTTGGACATGTTGTAAGGAGAGACAGGCCTTTAGAGAGGGACATCATGCTGGGTAGAGTAGAGGGACAGCGCAGGAGGGGAAGGCCCTCTATGAGATGGATTGATTCAGTGACTGGGGTAATCGGGATGGGTGTGTCAGGGGCAATGCGATTGGCACAGGATAGAGCAGGGCTTAGGGCTGTTGTACATAGGGTCGCTATGAGTCGCAAACGACTCGACGGCACATAACAGCAACAACAACAACAACAACAACATGTTTACAAAAGCATGAATAAAGGTATGAATTAGGAAGACAAAAGAGGAATGAATGCCTTTGAATTATGGTGTTGGCAAAGCATCTGGAACACAGCATAGACTTTCAGAAGAGACAACTAATCTGTCGTGGAAGAAGTACAGCAAGCATACTCCCTGGAAGTGAGGATGGTGTGTCTTCCTCCCAGTTTCTCTGAATGTATTAGGAGGGACCAATCCCCAGAGAAGGGCATCATGCTTGGTAAAGAAGATCGCCAGAAAAAAAACCAACTAAGACTCTCAACAAGTTGGATTGACACATGATTGCAACAAAGGCAATGGAATGCAAACATGGCAATGAATATGAGGTTGACACAGGGTTGGACTGTGTTTCATTTTGGTGCACACAGTGCTCTGTGGTGTTAGCCTAAATGTCGGCTTGGTTTTTTTTAGCCTCCTCTAGTCTCCAGCTGCCTTAACTGCAGACACATGGTTTTGCAAACCTTCAACAGCTGTAGGATTAGCATAAGAGAAAGAGTGCTTCTCACACTGAGTAGCAAGACTTGAGTTGAGTACGATTTGTGGTGGCCAGACCTGAGGGAGACTGGAGTAAGACCCTGGTGAAAGCAAGACCCTGGTGAGAGCGAGACCCTGGTGATGGTGGTGGAGAGACTGGGGCATTGCTGTGGAGAAACTGTGGCAAGGGGTGGCCTGAGGCTTCTTACATTTGTGCTGGCCACTGTTAAAGGTTTTTGCCTTTGATTGTAGAAGGAAAAGCTGTTTGCTGAACTGAAACCAGAGCCTAGACTAATTGAAGAATTGTGCCTTGAAGCTTGGGCTAAAATCTGGACTTGTTTTGGGTGTTATTCTTTACCTCCTGCACTCTCCAACTTACTGCCCTAATAAAGTCCATTCTCAGTACCTCAGTGGTGAATCTATGAGTCAACAATGAATAAACAAACCTCTTGCTGTTAGTGCAGCTTTCAAGGCACCAGGGGGCTGGGCTACAGGCTCTTCATCTGCTTTCTGCTCTGGTGTGGTGAGAGGCTGTGCTATTCTTACTTCCTCTGGCCTTTTCTGAAAGATGCTCACAGCCCTGTGCTCTTCTGTAGACAGACGCAATGAATCATAATTGATTCAATGGCACCTAGCAACAACAAAATAGACTTAAAGATTTTTTCAAAGATGATGTCTGGAATTTTTTTGCATTATAGTATAGAAAAAAATCACCTCGATGATTTTCATTGAATATACCATGAACTGCTAAGAAAATGAAGAGTTTTGTCCTGGAGAGAGTGAAGCCGGGTTGCTCCTTGGAGGCAAGGAGTCTGAAGCTTCGTCTGACATACTTTGGACATGTTGCAGGGAGGGACCAGTCCTTGAAGAAGGACATGATGCTTGGGAGGGTGGTGGGACAGGGCAGGAGAGGAAGACCCTCGATGAGATGGCCTGATTCAGTGACTAGGGGAATGGAGGAGGTGTGTCGGAGATGGTGAGATTGGCACAGGATAGGACAGAGTTTCAGGGCTGTTGCACATAGGGTCACTAGGAGTCACAGGTGACTCAATGGCACATAACAACAACAACAACAACAACAACAAAAATGAGGTGTGGTTTTTAAAAAAAATACAAAAAATGGAAATTTCAGAATGTTATTTACTCTCTGCTGCAGGTGTAGATAGAAATAACACTAAAAAAAGACAAATTGGATATAATCATTCCCATGTTTTTCTTTCTTTGATTTTCAAACTATCTGAGACATCTGGTTGTGTGCTTTGTCAGATTTGTGTAGATAATTGCAATAAAGATCTAGTTAAAATTACTTTGAAACAAATTTGCAAGATTATTATCATTCGTATGCTTCTTATTAACTTTCATTTCAACCTAAATTTCTCTAATGCTTTCTGCACTTGACCAGCTTTCAATTGGTTGTGTGATTAAACAGTGTGTGGTTAAGAATAAGCAAGTGAAAACCCCAAACCGACGTCAGCAATCAAGCTGAGTTAGAAACCGCCTGACTCAGAAATGTACTAATTTAGTTTTGACTAGCTACTGTACTTTCTTATGCAAGGTTAGAATTTAACGGGATAATGATTTAAAAATTATTAATTAAAAGAAAAAAGAGAATAGACTTCTAGTTTTAGACGAGGTATGAAATTGTTGTTACATAGAGAATTATGTTGTTGTGAACTGTTGAGTCAGAGCTGACCTTGTAGTGGTTTTCAGAGACAGTTAATTGCGTTGGAGGAGTTTTTGCCCTTTTTCTCCCATAGAGAGGCTAGTGGATTCTAACTGTGCCTTTGAGTTGACAGCGTAACTTCTTACTGCACCTAGCATGTGTTATTAACAACTCCCTCCACCTCCACCCTCCAGCCTAAACCTAGAGATGCTGGGGAAGTTAGAGGGGGATTGGTATCTGAACCCCAATAAAAGCTGAGAGAAGCACTAGCTGGGGGGCAGAAGATGATTGAACACAGACTGTGAGGTAGACTAGCCGGGCCCATGGACAAGGTCAAGGACACTTTAGTTGTGCAATTTCTTGTTTGCATATTACTTAAGGAAGACCATTGCCTCCTCTTTTGCTTTCTGTGTGTCTTAATTAAGGTCAAAGATGGTGAAGCTTGGTCTCATATACTTGGAGCATATTATCAGGAGTGGCCAGTCCTTGGAGAAGGACATGACGGGAAACATGGAGGGTCAGAGAAGGAGAGGAAGACCCTCAGTGAGATGGATTCAGACAGTGACTGTAGCAGTGGGCTCGAGCGTATCAGAGCTGGTGAGGACGGTGCAGGGCAAGGCTCAGATCTGGGTTCATAGGGTCGTAAGTCATAGTCAATTTGGTTGCACCCAGAACAATAATATTAGGTGTTTCATAGGGAGCTCCTGTGGGCAAGGAGTTGTACTGCACACCCAAAGGCACATGGTTCAAATTCGCCAGCTCTCCAAAGGATAAAGAGAGACAATCTCCCATGTGATTTACAGCCTCTGAAAACCTGCAGGATGGTTAACAATGAGTTGATCCTTCATCAATGGCAATGAAATGGATTTGGTCCCCTCCCCCCCCAATTCAGGACCTTTTATTATGATCCCTTTCAGAGAGGCTAATAGTGGGAGCTGGACATCACCTAGGTCTTCTGGTCTCCAGGTTGTAGAAGTTGAGGTTTGTGAGGTCCATTAGTGTTACTTGTTTCTGTGTGTCTTTGATTTTCTTTACTCTTCTTTGCTCCAAGCAGGGAGAGACCAGTGGAGGAAACTTAGATGGCCCTTCACAAACCTTAAGTCCTTAGCCATAACTCACAAATGTAGGGTGTAAAGCATTGTCCTTGAGAACTTTTTTCATAGCAATTGACCTTGTCTCCTGAGAACTATCTTGAGGGCTCATGGCCATGGATTAATTCCCTCAGGACATTTGGTTGGGAAGTTCACGTGTGCCTTGTTTCTTGAAGTGTCTTTCTCCACAGTTATTTTAAAGTTACACTTTTTAACTTCTTTACTTACTTGCTATGCATCAGAGAGCTGGACAATGACTAAGGATGACAGAAGAATCAATGCCTTTGAGTTGTGGTGCTGGAGAAGAGTCTTGAACATACCATGGACTGCCAAGAGAATAAACAAGTCTGTCTCGGAGACGGTGAAACCAGATTTCTCCTTGGAGGCAAGGAGTTTGAAGCTCCATTTCACATACTTTGGGCATGTTGTCAGAACGGAACAGTCCTTGAAGAAGGACATGATCAGAAGGATGGAGAGAGAGTGCAGGAGAAGAAGACTCCGGATGAGATGGACTGACATGGTAACTGGGGTGATGGGGGTTGGTGTGTCAGAGTCAGTCAGACTGGTCAGGATAGGACAGGGTTCAGAGCTGTTGTACAGGGTTGCTGTGAGTTGCCCGTGACTTGATGGCACATAACAACAATGATTACTTACTTATTTAAATTTTATATTGTATTCCCTCATCAAATCTTTGAAAGAGTTTCCAACTCTCTCCTGACTTTGGACCCAGGACTTTCCACAGAACATTGTATCTGGTTTTATTTTAACTCAACATGATTTACATTTAACTTTTTAAATCAGGAGTTAAGGCCAGTCAAATGTGTGAAATCTGGTCCTTTTTAATGTCCACAAGAAGAATCTTGACATAATTCTTATTTGGGTTTCAAGATTTCCCCTTTGGGAAATGACTTGAGTCCACTGAATAAGCAGGGACACAATTTAGTTAAGAGTATTCAAAGATTCATTATTGACGATGAGTGAGCCCCCGAGGACAGAGACATTCACAGAGCAGCTCTTCAAGCAAGTTTATTAGTTAACCCATGTAACTGTTTTAGGTAAAGAATTATCTCTTTGCTTTTCTTGAGAATTTCTGGCTTTCTTATTTGGCAGGGCACTAGGATACAGTTAGTGCTGCTTTACAGAGGTGGTTAATAGGGTTGGTTAAAAGGGACAGTAGGGAGGGATCAACTTTGATTTAGTGAAAAAAAAAAACCAAAAAACAAAAAAACCCCTAAAACCAAACATATGCACATTTAGCATTTGGAAACATCTCTGTGAAGTTGTTGTATCATCTGGGGGGTTCATTTCTTTAGCCTGATGGCTTTTCAGGAGCTCTTGGACAAAGCAGGAGGACACGGGAGATTCCAAGTTATTCAGCTAGCTTTTCTCTTAATAGTAAGTACATTATCAGGTACTCACAACCTGCTGCAAAACTTCACAGCTGCCATTCCTGGTCATCGCTGCTGGGTTCCTCTTCTGGACAATGAGACCACTTTTGCGAATGGCACTGAGATGCTGGACTCTGATTTCCTCCTTAGCGTCTCCATCCCCCTGGATTCAAACATGAGCCCAGAAAAGTGTCGTCGCTTCCGCCACCCCCAGTGGCAGCTCCTGAGGCTTAATGGGACCTTCTCCAACATGAGCGAGCCAGACACAGAGCCCTGTGTGGATGGCTGGGTCTATGACCCAAGCATTTTCCCTTCCACGATCATCAACGAGGTAAGAGGCTCCATTAACGCTTCTGATTGTATGCTATTTTGTTCTTGGGGGATCACACGAAGAATGTCCAAATTCACAGAGGGTCATTCTTGCTTTAAGTCAGTGAAGATTTCGAGATGGTCCCTCGTACAGCTACAATAGGGAACCACATCATGTGAAGTAGCCAGTGCTGTGTTAATGTGTAGTAGGTAGTCCTATACAGACTTCTTTAAGGAATGGCTTTTTTTTGGAGAATGTCATAGTTAAGCTAAGACCCAAAGGATGTGTGCTACTTGATGAAGTATAGCGGCTTGGCAATGCCAAGAGGAGAAAGAAGAAACACAGGCAGTTAAATAGATTATTGGTCCCATGAGCTGCATAGTATTCCATTGTGTGACTGTACCATAATTTCTCAATCCATTCCGTTGTGCAGGAGCAATGATTTTGTAAATTATTACCTAACTTGGGAGGTACAAGAGAGCATTTTGCTAAGTGAACGAATTCAGTCCTATAAGGACAAATACTGTATAGGACCATTATTGTAGAACATGTACGAGGATCCAAGGTGGGGAGGGGAGCAGAGGGTAAGGATGTGGGGGAACTTAATCATAGGGGTGCATTGATGGCTGAAGGGAGGGGTGAGTAAAGGAAAGGGGGAAGATCCAGTGTGAGAAGCAACTTTGTAAGTATGTTGTTGTTGTTGTTATGTGCTGTCGAGTCGCCTGCGACTCATAGCGACCCTATGTACAACAGCCCTAAACTCCGCTCTGTCCTGTGCCAATCGCACTGTCTCTGACACTCCCATCCCA